CCCCCCCCGACCTTGCTATGTTACAGCCTAGGGTAGTATTAAAATACGCAACTTTTTGTTTAAATGGGCTTCCATCCAACTGACATGGCTTTGGCCTTGCTGCAGAAAGGCTTAATTTATTGTAAGGCTTGTCTTTTTCTTGAAAAAAAGGTTTTCTTGCTGTCTCTAATAAAATGTAAACAACAGACATGAAACAATCAAATGACTCTTTGCTGTCACACCAGGTAACATTCCTAAGGCTCTAGAATGCAAATACATGCTCATGGGATTTTTTTAAATTAGGTAATGCTTGAAGTTGGGTGAAATTTCAGAAAGCCTGCAGACCCCTAGATACATGCAAAACAGAGGCCTGCAAAGCCAAGATAGTTCAGTCCTAGCTCCAGTCTTGCATTCTGAGAAGCCAGCAATGCTTTTACCAAAGCTAGCAAACGAGCTAAAACTCATAGACTTGAAAGAGGTAAATAACACACACTAATAACCGAGTACAGTACTGGCTTGTAGATCAAACAACAGTGATTGTACTCTGCACGTGTATAAAAATTGTGCTTCAAAAAGAAGGCATGATACTGCCATTTTTAGATGGAGAGGGGAAAGCAGCGAGGTACAGGAGCTTGTGACTGACTGCCACAAAATAATTGGCACAATCAAAACCTGAAATAACCAGTGCAGGAACCAGGAGCAGCTACAAAGGCTAATTTAGCTTACAGGGGCTCATCTGTACGTTAAAGCTCAGTTTAGGTAGGAAGCCACATGCCTTTAGAAAGCCATGACTGACCGCAGGAAGACCCTCTCTCTCCATCTCTTACCTGACAATACAAGAACTTTAATCAACTTAAACAGCTTTGACCACAGTTAGAATATTTTGCGTGGACATTGATGGAGTATTTATCCATGGTCAAGAGCCAGTGAAAAATCTATGTGAAACTCAACAGAAATAACTTGGAAAACCTAACCATACCACAGGCTATAACTGCTATTAACTTACAGTCTCCTGCAGAGGGAAGTATTCCCTAGTGTATAAAACGCATATTTAGAGTCAAATGTTTTTTGTCAAAGCTGGAAAAGTTGCTATGTGCAAGCAAAGACAAAAGGGCTAGATTGGCAAGAATAGTTTCCAGCAAGTTAAGCAGTTTGCAAGAAGTCAAATATTTCAAGTGAAAACCATTTCACAACGGTCAGCGCTCTGAGCGAAGGAAACACTTGCCAAACCAATGGGAAATACAAAAGATACGCCTTAAATCTCACCTCTTTATGATTTGGGAGCCTCCCTCTTGGTTTCATAGGCAGAATCTCATATTTGCAACCATCTCCTAGAGAAGGGAGATTAGTAGGTTGGATTCAAGACTGATGAAGGAAGAGACCTTTAACCCCTCGTCCCCCCTCCTCCCCAGCATACCCTAGGTCAGTGCTTTAACTCCAGTATTGTGTATAAGAGGGAAAGACCAATAGCCTCTCAGAGTTGGGGGAGGAGTTGTTCCCCCCCCTTTTTTTTTTTTTTTTTAAACAAAACAAGTGACTATGGTCATTACATTGTCTGCAAGTCCATACTTAGCATAGGCACATGTGGGATAGGTAAGAGAGGCTCAGGAAGACCAGGCAGAGTAACAGGAAGGGCTGGCTGGGCTCAGGCGCGAAGCTGTTCTGTTCTCCCAAGAATCAGCTGGTGCTGGCTGAGGAGTTCAGGGGTCTCCAAAACTTAAATGGCAAAGAAGGGCATGGAGGTGTGCGACAAAAGTCAACTCAGCACCTACAGGAGGACACTGAGATTCTGGGGCCCACACAAGAGGGTGCGAGGGCCCAGTTTCAGTTCCATCTTGGTTAAGGCAGCTTAGGCTAAAGGTCAAATTCCTCATAGAATCCAAGGAGATTTTTGGTTTTTATGTACACACACACACACACTTTTTTTAACCACAAGAAACAGAGGCATGTCAGAAGATAGTTAACAGCTCATTCCTAACATGAGCTTCTTAAAGGGGGTGGTGGAGACCTTCCGCACATCAAGTTTTACAGTGAAACATTTAGTTTTGATCACAGGAACGCTGATTACAGATTTCTTTTCACTAGACAAACAAAAACCTGAAAAAAGAGAAAGCTACCTCCACTTTCTAAAGCAACATTCACAGGAGAAGGCTACCTGGACTCTTTCAACACTAAGGCATGTATTTTGATGAAATTTTCACTATAAATTTTTCCCCCTTACAAAAGCATATGGTTTTCAGCTACCATGAAATCATATTAATTTTATTCATGGATTTGGTCAACCATTTAGGCTATGAATTTCCTAAATGAAAACCAAAGGAAAACGTTAGATCACTCAGTTTGTCCAGCAGTATAACACATGATTAAATTTCCTTCTGTGTCTCTGGAGCAAGCCCAGTAACGTATCTCACAAAAGCACATCTTCCAGACAGGCCTCATCAAAGCCCACAAGGTGCCAAATACTGCAACATAAATCAGATCAGGGTCTCCTAACTTTAAACAGATGCAGCATTTTATTGCAGAAATAGTTGATTTTCTCCCCATCCAGAGGGTATTTCCTAAACTCTTGAGAGCTCCCGCTGCTTTGGGCTCAGGAAACTTTCTTCACAGCTACCTGCCAGCTTTCCATGCTGGTAACAGCTCGTCTCTCTTAATATCTGTCAGCTACGTTTCCCTGCTTCTCTTTTGCAGCGCTGTGTGAAGTTTGTCTGGTGTTTTAGTAACCGCTTAACGCTGCTGTGAATAAGACCATGGGAGCACTCCGGTGAGTTGTGCAGCATGCGAAACGCCATTACCTTTAACCCCAGTTGAACCTGCACGACGGAGCCCGCTCCCCAAACACAGGCTGCGCGTCAGTAAGGCGCGCTCCTCCGGTGTGGGTTTATCTGCCCCGAGGGAGGACGCTGCCTCCCGTCCACGGGGCCCGCGGCAGACCCCTGGCGGCTCTCGAGGTCGGGCAGAAAGCAGCGCTGGGCGCTGCCGCCGCGGGTTTCCAGGCCAGAAAACGGCAGCGCGACCAGTTTTGATAAATGAATCATTTGAAAAGGAAGGGAGGGCAGTGCCTGATACACAGCCCAGGTCAGAAACCTGTTAGCTCAGCGCACCCTGAACAACCTCAAGATTTGTCCTGAGCAAAGAGGCTCAGTCCCAGCAAAGAGGGAAAGGAAATGAGCCTGTACGACGACTGCTGGCCCTGGCCTAATGAGCAGACTAGGAGCACGCCAGCACGTTTATCTTCCCTTCATACGACATTTCAAACGCAGATGCAAGCATTCACAAAAGGACGGTATGTCTGTCAGAGAAAATTTGTCAGGCGTTGTTTAGACAAAAATGTATACTTAAAAACCTAACACCATGTGACATATTTTCATCTAAAAGTAGAAAAAAATAGGAATTCTTTAAATAAGATTCAGTTATTAAGAGCATCAGATCTTCTTGTCTCTTTTTGCAAACTCTTCTGCTAGTTAGGACCGTTCAGTGTTAGCGCTTTGGGATATATAGCATATATTGTACCACTTAAGGCAGGAATTCAGTGAACCCCAAAGTGCTTCTAAATACAGCTAGCTAATACATTATTAATGCAACGTCTTGTTCGGCTTTCTGTTTTCCTCCCCCAAATGTCGAAGCCCAATAAAAGCAAGCCGCCGTAGCTCCTTTCGGGGTGGGTAGCGACGGCTGGCCCAGGAACCCTGCGGCAGCAGCCTCCCTGCAAAACTCTTGCCGTCTTCACGGGGAATTACTTGCCCGAAGAGTCAGCTTTTCCATATCGTACTAGATTTGCGCCCGTTGGATTCACTCGGTCGTATGATATACCAGTACTCCAGAATGGAAAGAAGCTGTTCTCCTGTACAGATGTGACTCGTCTTTTTACAAGCTATCTTTGCTTAAATTTTCAGTAATCCACTGGAATGGGGAAAAAATACTCTATTAAGGGAGGAAAACAGAAAAAAAAAAGTGCTTTGCTTATTTCAGAGGTTTTTATCCTGGCATTAACTCTTCCACATCCTCTCTTCCCACCTCACCGTGGAGAAGCTCTGCAGCTTTTCTGCTTCAAGAAGAAATAAACCCATGTTGCACTTCCAAGCCATTAAAAAATTCAGCGTAGCAGAGGACAATCTGATTAGAGACTCCTCCAGCTTGTTAACAGCCTTATTAGAAGTGAGCCCGCAATTTTCTAAACACTTCATCTTTTTTGCCAGCCAGAGATGGTTATGCTACGCACTCACGCTCTAAGGCGCACCGGTGGTCAAGCAGAAGCCGAGAGACGGGGAAAAGGCATCGAACCAAGGAAGAAATCACTGGCGATCTAAAGAGAAGGAACAGCACCGCTTGAGCAGGCTTCGTTTCAGGATCTTGTTTGAAATAGTTTATTAAATAGTTCGAAAGAGTTTATGATGGATTTTTTGGAAAAATGTTTACATTTCCACTTTAAAGGAATTATACTTAGACTCATGGCAGTTTAACAGCTTGCTTAAAGACGACAAAAAAGGCAACTCAATTACCATTGCATGGGAGGGAGTTGAGGAAAAGATGAGAAAAGAAGGGATAGAAATCTACGTTCCAGTGGGCGTTCTTAATTGCATTTACATGGATATGTGCTTCATAACTTGCTTAAACTTGCTTGATTTTGATGATCCGTAATGCTAGGGTGAGTGGATATTTGACTATAAATGATAATATTATATCCAAACAATCTTAGTCACTGTAGATAAGATACAGCTGTATTACTGCTCCTGAAAATGAACTACGATTAACTTTTTGACTAAGTTCTACCTTAAATATGTCAGAAATAGTAGAACATATTTCAATAACTACCAGGAGTAACTGTTTAATGAACAGTTGATATTAACTAGGATGAACAGTTACTCTTTCTTTGTAACTGCCTGCAAAAACACACAATCTTAATTTGGAAAATACTGTTTTGATTAAAAAAAATTTAAACGCCTTGGTGCTTCTTTCCGTCTCACCCTGTATAAGGGCACCTGACAAGTCAAAGCGATTACACCAGAATAAGCCGGTAAGCCTGAATGCAAAAGCAGCTTTCTGGGATAGACAAACCCACCTGGCAGCAAACAGGTAAGAGCACAGTAAAATCACCTGCTTAAAGCTTCAGGCCGCTGGAGATGGGCAGTGAGGAGCAGCCCAGCGGGGCTTCTGCTCCCGGCCCCGGGGGATCCCTCTTGCAGAAGAGGGCTTCCCGGGTACTGTCAGCTGCTAAAAGTGTCAGAGGGCAAAATGTAATTTTGATATTCAATCTGTATCAACAGGAGAAGAGGATGAGCTCCTGAAGCCCACTGCAGAGGGAGGATCACAGGAAACTATTAAAGTACCTAAACCTCCACTGACACACGCTTACTACTTTCTTGGGCGAAAGCGATGTTACAAAGAGGTTACTGGTGACCCAGACCAAAAAAAAAAAAAAAAAAAAAGTAGTGAGAGAGAAGTCATCTGCTGCTTTTGGCCTAATTGCCAAGTCAATTTAACAAGCTATATCTCAAATTATGTTATCTTTCTCATCAACTCTCTTTAGATTCTTTCTTTATCACTGCTGCATCATTTTGTGGACCTTGCTTGGCATTTTTTTTCCCCTTAAATATTCTTCTCACTATGTCACTGATTGTTCTTGTACAACAGGCTTCAATCTACTACTACATAAAATATATATATATAATGAAGTCTGTGAAGATTATTTGCTTTTTCCCTGTCTGCTCACACTATTTTTTCTTAAAACAAAACAAAACCACGGCACGCCCTTTATGCACAACTATTCTGATTCTTCTATTTAAAACAACGTTGACCTCTCTCAGTTCCCCTGTTTGCTAGCAAAACATCCTGTTTGTATACATTTTTAGAATATTTCCAAAGAGAATACATCCATCTTTAAGGGTACTTTGGGGATAAGATTACTAAGATATTACTTTGACTACGGATTTAGCTTTACGAGCTTACAGGCTTCTGCCAGCCCCGCTGCGTCCATCACACCTGCTCCAGAGCCAGGCGAGGGGAAGCCTACACTACAGGCTTCTGCTAAGTGGCGAATATAATCTCAATTTTTTCCTTATGATTAAGCTTCTACAGATGTTGTTATACAGAGGAAGAGTTTGATGCCTCTACCACATCTCAAATGATCCTCTCTGGCAAGCAGATATCCGCCTAATGGAACAATACCCCCACACGATCGAGGGATACGATTTATGCTGATATATCTAATAAGCAGGTACCGTGGCAGTACTAAAAGAAAAAGGATTAACATAAATTTGCTGGTCTAGGATCAAGACACTGTTACGTGACCATGCGTTTTAAAGAATTATTGTGCATTTAGTTGACCTGC